ACAGCTTCTACAACCTGAATTCAAGCCCCAGGACCTGACGGGACAAATTCACTTATAGACTGGATGTGGCTCAAATGGTAAAGTGCTCACCTAATTAACTAAGGGGCCTAAATTCAATAACCAGCCTCCAAAAGCCAGGTATGGTAAATTATGCCAGTACTCCTAAGGCTAATGCACGATGAGAGGAAGAGTTCAAGGTCAGCCTGGGTACAAAACAAGATTCTGTTGCTGTGTGGTAGTGGCTGATGCCTGTAATCCTAGCTACGAAAGAGGCTGAGGTATGAGGATTATGGTTGGAGGCCAGCCCAAACAGGAAAGCCTGTGAGACTATTAGCCGGAAGTGAAGCTGGGGCAAATCACCAGCATTGAGAGAAGCAGCAAAGGGACAATGCCTTTAGTTCCAGCCCCAGTACTGGCTGGCCAAACCAACCATTCCATGGTTAAAAGGGTTTTTGGAAGTTTTTTTTTGGAAATGCCAGGCAAAGAAAGGCAACAATGATCCTGGCTCCGTGGATGCCAAAGCAGAGGTGAGGACAATCGGCACTACAGTGACATTCCTGTATTCCTAGATTTTTTTTAAAAAAAATCAACCTTCTCAAATTCAGGAGCCTGTCCAAGGTACGAACTGACATACACTGAGACTGTAATGAATTTACTTAGGAAATTCACTAGTGCACGCGTGCAACACACACACAATCAACTGCAACACTATAGTGAACAGAGAAAGATTTAAATAATTGTTTCCATGAATAGGAAGTTCAGAGATAAATTCTCATTGCTTGACCTATTGCCCTTGAGTCCATTCTCAACACCTATGGAGCAGACAGAAATAGGCGGCACAGCTTTCTACATCTCTTAATCAAGCGTGGTATTCACCTTCCATGTAGCAGGCCCAGGACCGAAGACTGGCCGTTAATACAACTGTCACCTGAAAAGCTCCATCTGCGACAACCTTCGCCGTGAAACCCCGTGAATTCTGCGTGGGAGGGAAAGGCGCAGCTGGCCGCCTCTCCCATGGAGCCAACCCCAGCGGGAGTGCTGCGCACTGCGGCCGATCACTGCTCCAAATGACCGCGGACGACGGACCCACCAGGGAAGCAAGCGCCCCCCGTTCGGCGCACACGGGGCGACTTCTCCCAGGCCCGCGTCCCCGCGTAACCGCCCGCGTTCTCCTCTCGCTCACCCAGACCCCAACCAAACCTGTCTCCTGGGCTCCCCGCTTCCTGGGGAGGACGCGGGAATGTCAACGCCGGATCCCCGCCGTTTCCGAGCGAAAATGGCAGCTCCGAAAACCCCCAGGCGGCGGAAGGACACCCCGGGGGAGGGCCCCCCCCCCACGGCCGCCCGGTCCAGAGACAAAGCTCGGAACCGCCCGCCCGCCCGCCTCCACACACGCACAAAAGAAAATGCACACACGAAAAGCTGCGGGGCGGGGTGCGGGGCGCCGAGAAGGAGAAGACGTCACCAACGGATGAGCCGGCGCCGGGTCCCCCCCAGGCG